TGATGAGTTACAAATCACAAAAAGACTCGGCAGGAGATGCAACATTCCCCCAATGAAAAGCAGGGGTGCCACGAGTACATTGAGAGACAACACAGTAAGTGTCCGGGGCCCAAAACTGTTCAACTGCCACCCAGCATACATAAGTGGGATTTGGGGAAATGGTATGGTGATACCGACAAGATGTGGAAAAAGACACTTGTGTACAGTTCAGGCCATTTATTAAATAAATGTCCTGAACTGTACAAAGTGTATTTTTCCCACATAAGGGGTATTACCAATAGACCCCTGGCTGTCTTCAAGAAGGCATCGGACAGGTACCTAAAGTCAGTACCTGACCAACCAGGCTGTGGTTTGTACATTGGTTTGCGTGTGGCCAGCAGTAATAGCCTGGTTGATCAGACCCTGATCCATCAAGCCTTGCAGCACATTAGGGCCTGATCAACCAGGCTATTACCTTTGGCTGCATACAGACCGATGGATGAACCACAGCCCGGCTGGTCACGTATTGACTTTAGGTGCCTGTCCAGCTCTCTCTTGAAGACAGCCAGGGAGGGGTCTATTGGTAATCCCCATTATATATGATGGTAGGCAAGTGAACAGTCTTGGCCCCCTGACACTTACTGTGTTGAGGAAATGGTATGGTGATACCGACAAGATGTGGAAAAAGACACTTATGTACAGTTCAGGACATTTATTAAAGGAAACATTTCGCCGTGAGTGGCTTCTTCAGTCCTAATACACTCGTGGTGAAACGTTTCCTTTAATTAATGTCCCGAACTGTACTTAAGTGTCTTTGTCCACACTTATTGTGTTGTCTCTTAGCGTACTCATGACGCCTCTGCTTTTCACTGGGGTAATGTTGCACCTTCTGCAGTCTTTCGCTTTCGTAGGGAGTGATTTCTGTGTGCAGATTTGGGACTAGTTCCTCCAGGCCCCATGGCCTCTGTCTAAAGCTCTCACTTCACACGACGAGGATCTGGGTTCGATTCCCAGCGAAGGTAGAAACACTGGGCATGTTTCCTTACATAGGTTGTAAATGTTACCCATCAGTAAAATGGGTACCTGGGTGTTAGTCGACAGGTGTGGGTCGCATCCTGGGACAAAACTGACCTAATTTGCCCGAAATGCTCTGAGAACATAAGAGGCGTTCTGTATTGTAGTATATCATTATTGTCAGCTAGGCCTGTATACCTTGTACATGTACTTATAGAAATAAAGGTATTATTATCTTTCTTACCTGCATTACAAATAGTACAGGTCAAGGGACTTCAACCGATCCCAGTAATTTAGGTGCTTTATTGTACTTGTACGTGCAGTGATAGTAGATATTGGTATTGTGGAAAATTTTTAATTTTCCGAAACTATAGTGCCTAATAGGTGTTTAATGTGTCGATATGAGTCAAAAATATATTTGACAATAGGATAGAACCAAGAGTTCCCTTTGCGCATGCGCGGATGTGCGGGGGGAGAGGTCGACTCGGGCCATGGGGGAGGCGGGAGTGTTTTGAATGTAGTGAGGAGGCTGTGAAAACCTGGGATCAGGAAATTGGCGTTCACGGCGGCCTAAGGATTAATATGGGCCTCACTTCATAATAGGAAGTGTCATAACTGTTCCTGGTGAAGAGTGAGGGAACGTGATTTACGGGACCACCGTAAAAAGGTGGTAAAATTAGTGAATAATGGTTCGACCGGGTGTGACTGGTACGCTGCCATGGTGTGTGTCCAGGGGAAATACCCGTGTGTTAATCCTCACTCATCGGCCTCAGATCTTAATGGAGTGACCTCTAATGTGTATAATAATTATGAGACGTTAAATCGTCTTGTGAATGGTAATGTAATCAGTGATAATAACATTAAGTTAAGAGAATGCGGGATGTGAAATAGATTGCCCTGCTCCGAGTGAACGCGTGATTCTCGTACCGAGGATAGTGAAACTTTATGGAATCACGACTTCTAAACCGGGACAAACCGACGGATACCTCGTCCTGCTGGAATAAGAACCGTGTCGGTGTAGCAGGACATCGAAATGAGATAGTGAATGGAGGGAATAAGGAGTATCAATCACCCACAGTTTAGTAACCCTTCTAGTTATAGCAGACTGATACTGGCCAGTTAGGTATGTTGTAACTGGATAGGTTATGAGTGATCCAGCTACATCAAGTGACCACCAGAGAATATCTGGTAAGTGGTGAGATTATGTACAAGTGTTTTCCTTGATGGATATATCCATGTGTAATCTACCCCACCCCCCTTCATTCAGTTAAACTAATATAATCTATACAGTCCACAATTAATTAGTAGCACCGTACTTGTGGGTGCTATCCAATCCATACTGGTCTCGGATAGATATGGATAAGATTGTGAGGTCGAAGGAACCACCTGCCGTGACCAGGGGTGGTTAAGTTTTCTCACATGTCTACACGGGGTGACTACGGTAAACAATATGGTTGTCTCCCAATGAGTTTACTTGTAAGCATGTAATGTTGAGGTACATAAAGGTAATCACACTAGAAAATTTTCCATAGGTATAAACCTTGGTATATGTACCGACAAGTTGGTTTAGAAAGACACGTAAGCAAACACTAGGACATATTCATTAGAAAACGTTTCGGTCCTGAGACCTTGATCACTTCTAACATACAAAGGCAGACAGACTATATATATAGGCCGAGAGTGAGGTGTGACGCATGGTGACCTGAAGAATGCCATGTTGGGATGAAGAAGGGTAGACGATGAGGTCATGTGACCCTTGGGTTGGTGGTGCTTAGCCTGCTTAAGTATCATGTATGCTATGATTTATTATTAGGTATCCCCAAAATGGAATTCCAGTAGTTGTCAGTTTTTTCCTCCAAAGTTTACATGCAGCAACTTAATAACATAAAAATGGCAGAATATTTCAGCAGGTCTACTTGCCCAATTAAGCAGGTACTTCTTAAATCTAACCCCTCTCACTTATATATTTGTTTTATCTAATAAAACTTACCAATAATCAATACCAACTCCAATAATCAGTACTAGGCAGGTATTATTCAAATGCCATTCATGTTCTTTCTAAGTCTATGAAGTTCAGTTGAAGTTTGTTCTTTACTATTGTCCCCAGAGTAGTAGATATTCTCAAGGAATAATAGTCTCTCTCCTTGAAAGCATATGTTCTGGCTTTCTTATCACTTCTCTTATGTATTTGAGGGCAAATGCGCGAGACAATCCATAAAATGTGGATTTTTTTTCCTCTGCCTATTACCTAATGGTTATAATCATAACCAAATTTTTTTTAAAGAGGTTGACCGGTAAGCCAGCAAAAGGTCTCGGGAAAATGACCAAAAGCTCCAGCTGCGGGTCATCATGACTAAGACCCGCGTCAGAAAACACTTGTCCTGTTTCCTGATAAACCTTACCTAACCTCTGCCTATACCTGACTTCTAACACAAATGTATTACCTGGAGAGAATTTCGGGGATCAACGCCCTCGTGGCCCGGTCTGTGACCAAGCCTCATGGTGGAATCAGAGTCTGATCAACCAAGTTGTTAATGCTGGCTGCACGCAAACTGACGTACGAACTACAGCCCGACTATTCAGGTACTGACTTTAGGTGTCTGTCCAGTGCCTGCTTGAAGACAGCCAGGGGTCTACTGGTAATCCCCCTTATGTATGCTGGGATGCAGTTGAACAGTCTTGGGCCCTTGACACTTATTGTGTTGTCTCTTAGTGTACTCGTGGCGCTCCTGTTTTTCAATGGGGGAATATTGCATCTCCTGCCGAATCTCCCCTCAAGGAAGGTTCCTTGATGTTGGTGAGGGGCTCTTGATTTAGGGAATTGGATCTGTGCTCCAGTTCCCCGAATTAAGCCTGAATGCCTTCCACATCCCCCCCCCCCCAGGCGCTGTATAATCCTCCGGGTTTAGCGCTTCCCCCTTGATTATAATAATAATAATAATAATCCTGCCGAATCTTTTGCTTCCATAGGAGTGATTTTTGTGTGTAGGTTTGGTACTAATCCCTCTAGGATTTTCCAAGTGTATATTATCGTGTATCTTTCTCGCTTGCGTTCCAAAAGTGCCTCACTAAGTCTAGAGCATTATTGATGATAGAGAATCGCTGATAATTAAAATGTCAAGACTAGATGTGGACATATGTAATTTTGTATACAATGTCCTTGTAAGATTTACCGTTTGCTAGTAACCTGTTATTGTAACTATTGTATCTTACTGGGAAATAAAATTATCTTACTTGAGTTCATGGAGTATAGCGAATAATTCGGTTTGAATATTGGATTTACGTGAGCCCCAATTTCAATGTAAGGGCCATCGCCTTATTCGACAGAGCTAAAAACTATAAGATGGATGAAGCTTCAGAAGGAGGAGAGTGATTTCTTATATAGTTAACATTCATGTACCTAATATTGTAAGCTAATCATCTCTTTAACGTTCATGTAAATAACTCAGTTCACTTCATTTCTATTGTATCTCCTTTTATTGTAACTGATTTTCACAAAGTTGAGTTACTCAGCTGTTTTCATTTTAAGGTTATCATCATGACTTGATTTCTACTGTAACTTATTGCTAGGCTTGAAATAAGTAACTTTGTCGGACTTTTTTGGGGCTGTCCTAGGTAATTTACACACATGTTGCTGTGATAATTGTATTTATGTGTACTTGTACCTAAATAAACTTATTTACTTAAAAATATATTTTAATCCCAAAATTGCTATTATATGTACCAGCATCAATGTTAAGTCAATGACTGAGGCGTTCGCTTAGTTCTCGTGCTGTGGATCCGGATTTTACTACCACTAGAAATGTAAACAAAATATTACGTCATTTGTAAATAAATAAACATCCAGGCATGTATCTACTTTGTTTTATAATTTACTTCTGCCTTTTAAACATAGATTTGGAAAGCAAGTAATGTAGTTAATGGCAGTTGTAAGTGACGGTTAATGAGCGCCATCTAGGTGGTGGTGCCGTGGTGGTGGTGCGCAGAAACGACCAGTGGTATCACCGCTACACACTACTTTATCACTCTCTTCTACTACGTTGTTGTGCTCGGTAAGACCTTCATATTTCTTCCTCTAATGTGCTTACATTTTACCGTCATAGTCCTGTCTTCCAGCATAATGTATGACTTCCAAGAGAAACGTTTACATTAAGTTAAGAGATTGGTTTGAGTGAAACTGATTCTTACTGAGATTCATATACATTTATGACTTTTTTGTTACACATTCTTGGTATAAGCCGGTTTTTGCTTACTGTATAAGACCAGGTATTACCACTAGAATTTAAGATTTATTTTATATTTAATTGTTTTAATTTTAAAACTGATTATTACCACATTCTTTTACCAGTTGATTGATGTTTTTGTTATCGTTTAACACGAATTTTACTTTACTATGAACAAAGTTTTTTTTTTTTTTGTTTTATGCAGTTACAGTATGTAATCTTAGAATTTGTCAATAAATATCTCCATGAGTTTGGAGTTTATTATAATTGCCTTTACCTGGGGCTCTGGTGGCCTGGTGGTTAACGCTCTCGCTTCACACGGCGAGGGCCTGGGTTCGATTCCCAGCCAGAGTAGAAACATTGGGCGTGTTTCTTTCCACCTGTTGTCTATGTTCCCCATCAGTAAAAAATGGGTACCTGGGTGTTAGTCGACTGGTGTGGGTCGCATCCTGGGACACTGACCTAATTTGCCCGAGATGCTCAGCATAACAAGTGGCTTTCTATATAGTAGTATGTCATTGTTGTCAGCTAGGACTGTATACCATGTACATATAGTAAATAAAGATTATTATTATTATTATTAGGTAGGTTCACTTGGGTTTTGCTGAGGTAATGCTGTTATCAAAAACCCAATTACTGTACATCTTTCCAGCCTTAGTGTTGCAGCAACTCCTAGAAGGTATCATTGTACAGTGAAGGGTTATATCAGTGTTTATGGAATCATTTTTTGTCCCATGGCTCATTCTTAAATCAGGCCTCCTTAACTTGAAAACCACTCTAAATAAGCACTAAGCCTTTTACATCTGAATTTGTAATGCCATTAATGCATTTACAAAAGTCTGAGGAAATGTATTAAAACCAGAATAGCAGTGCTAATCTAGAACCCAAGTGACAATTTTTTTATTACTCCTGAGACAACACCATCCAGGGAATAAGTACAGTACTGCAAGAGTATGTGTGCATGTGTGCGCATCCATGCTCGACTATGTGGTTGCAGGGGTCGTTTCACAGCTCGGGACCCTGCATCTTTGCTGGTTGCTATTAGATCCACCATCTCCTTCAAGAGTCTTACCATACCTCTTCTTAATAAATATATGTATGGATCCCACTTCTGCCACATTACTCTCTAGACTGTTCTACTTCCTGGCAACTCTAAGGTTGAAGAAATGCCTCCTAACATCACTTTGACTCGTCCGAGTTTTCATCTTCCAGCTGTGTCCTCATGGTCCTGTTTCCCATCTCTGAAACACTGTCCCTATTCATCTTGTCAGTTCCTCTCAATATTTTGTACATTGATATATCCCCCCTAGTTCTGTTCTCCAGTGTCATCAGGTTGAGCTTTTAACGAGACATACCCGTTACCTCCGAGACTAGTCTTGCTGCAGACCTCTGCACTTTCTTCATATTCTTGATGTGCTTGACCAAGTATGGGCTTGATACTGGTGATGCATGTACTAATGTGGGCCTGACATACACGTACAATGTCCTGAATGACTCCTTACTTAGATGTCTAAAAGCTATTCTTAGATATGCCTGGTGTGCATTTGTTGTAGTAGTTATTTGGTTGATGTGCACCTCAGGGGATGTGCTTTGTATGATACTCGCCCCAGAGTCCTCTTTGAGTGAGGCTTGCAGTCTTTGCATCACCGCCTCCTTCCCTCCCCCCATGTCTGTACTCCATCTGTAGTCTTTGCCCTTCCCGAAGCTTCATAACTTTTCACTTGGTGGGGTTAAACTCCGGGAGCCTCATGTCAGACCAGATCTGTCCAGATCCATTTGTAGCCTTTCTTGGTCCTTGTCCATTTGTATTCTTCTCATTATTTTTACATCATCCATGAACAGGGATACCTCTGACTCTCCTTTCCATCATGTCATTCACATATACAAGAAACAGTACTGGCCCTGGAACTAATCATTGTGGAACCTAATTCATCGCATGCACCCATTTCAACACCTTATCATGAACCATTCCTTGTTTCCTTCCTGTCAGGTATGCTTTGATACATTGTAGTGGTTTTACTGTTATTCTTGTCTGCTCCTCTAGCTTTTGTACCAGTTTCTAGTGCAGTACTATGTCAAAACCTTAGTCCAAGAAAATGTAATTTACCCATCCCTTTCTATTGCTTACTTCTGTTACCTTGTCACAGAACGCCATTAGGTTTGTGACAGTTTTCCATCCCCAAATCCCTGCTGGTTGTCATGTATGAACTTGCTCCTGCTTTTTAGGTGCTCCACCACTTGTTTCCTTCTCCATAACTTTACATACTATATATGTCATAGACTGGTCTGTAGTTGAATGCTGCCTGCCTTTCTCCTTAAAAATTGGAACATTTGCTGTCTTCTATACCTTTGACAGTTGCCCTGCATTGATTGACTTGAAGATTGTTGCTAGCAGCACACACTGCCTCTTACTCTCAGGACCCACAGAGATTATTGGTCCCACTTGCTTCGAGGTATCTAAACTCACATTGCAGCTTCTTCACTTTCTCCCCAGCTGTGTATTGTCCAATGCTTACTGGTACACTCTATACTACTATGGTTTTCTAGGAGCCTTTGTCTACTCTGAGAATACATCTCTAAATCTCATGCTGAGCTCTTCACTCGCTTCCTGGTCATAATTTGTGAGCTCCCCACCTTCCTTCCTTCAGAATCATTACCTGGTCCCTGTCTGTTGTCTTCTTCCTGATGTGGCTATATAACAACTTTGGGTTAGATTTGATTTTCACTATTTAATTTTCAAATTGCAGTTGAGCCTCCATTCTTATCCATGCATACTCTTTTTCCAGCTCTCTGGCCCCATCATGTTTTCCATTTGGGCTGCCTACACCTCTGGGTAAACCATGGTCTCCTTGTTATTTCTATTGCTCCTGAGTATGAGCTCTGTCTCCCTCCAATTTCTGGCCACATACTCCATTGTCTCGTTCACTTCTCTCTCTGTGCCCCTCATACAGGAATTGCCTATTGCCTGTGTAGTCCCCTCTTTTGATGTTTGGCTTCTTCCCTCCTTCCCATGCATCTTCACTCTCCACTGTTATTTCCACAAGGTATTTAAAACTCAGGTCTTAGAGTGCATTTCATAATTATACCTGGAGAGGGTTTCAGGGGTCAGTGCCCCCGCAGCCCTGTCTTGAGACCAGGCCTCGTGTGGTTCCCATGTCGGGAATTGAACCTGCAGTTTATTACACTATATTCTTTATATTAACTAATAACATAGTAATACAGTGGTACCCCGAGTTTCATACAGCTCCCAACTCGAGCAGTTATGCAAGTGTATTATTGTAAGTGTATTTTTGGGGGGTCTGAAACTGACTAATCTAATTTACATTATTCCTTATGGGAACAAATTTGTTCGGTAACGGTACTCGAACAGCCTAGTGCAACGAATTATGACCGAAACTTGGGGTACCACTGTACTGTGTACCTATATTTTGAAGAAATCATTGAAATTATGTAGAATACATTACTAATAGTAATCACTAGTTTCTTTAGGTAAAACCTAGACCCACTATGGGCCCTAGGTGTTAAAAAAAAAAAAACTGGTTCAGAAAGTAGATGTGATGCTAAAGTAACATGAAGATATGGGTATACCTCTTTAGGAGATAGAAAACCAGCACCTTGGTAAAACTATTTACTATATAAACAAATCAGTGACTTTCTTTGGGTTATTTCTAAAGGATTAGGATCCCAGGAAAGCCAAGCAATATGGGTAATGCCCTCTGATATCCTTCAGTTGCTCTTTTCCTTCAAGGATGCAATTTACACATATAAACTTACTTCTTGGTATCTAATGCTAGGTGAATAGGGGCAACAGGTATAGAGGGACCCTCTCGCATATCTCACCAAGCATGGGAATAAAGCATGGTTCATTTTTATTGTGAACTGGGTGCTGTACTATATTAAGTTTTTGTATTGACAGTATACTATCAATTTTGGTTTAACTTAAGGTGTAACCAGTTACTTTAAGAATTTTCCCATCATTTTATCTAGGGGCTGTTTTACAGTTCTCTAGGTTTTCATTCTTATATTGTGTGAGCAGGGTAATATTTATGAAGGGATTCATGGAAACCACCAAGCCGGACTGAGTCCTGGAGATGGGAAGTACATTGTCTGCACTTTGAAGGAGGGGTGTTAATGTTGCAGTTTTATAACTATAGTGTAAGCACACCTCTGGCAAGACAGTGTTGGAATGAATGATGGTGAAAGTTTTTCTTCTTTGGGCCACCCTACCTTTGTGGGAAACGGCTGATGTGTTAATAAAAAAAAAAACTTGCTAATAACATCTAATGATGCAAAAAATCACTTTTATGACAAAATTGTAATGTTTTTGAAGTATTGGGGATCTTATTTGTAACTTCCTTCAAGGGAGGAGGTGCCTTGATGCCACTGCAGTCCTTTGAACCAAAGTGCTAACCTTCCCTTTGGATTGAATCTGATTAATTCCATATCCCCAGGTGCTATATGACCATTTCAGGTTTAGCACTGTCTCATGAATACTTTAATAATTAATTTTAATTATAATTATAATGGGTGTTTGTTCATTACTAATGGTATATTTGTATTTTTTCTTAATATTTATTTTAAGAGCTTAGTTATTAGCCTAATACTAACGAAATAAGTATTGAATTTTGTGAAAACAAACAGGACATTATTGGTTTAGCTAAAGCCATATTAGAGAAAGGTATCATGAGGTGTTGTTGGAAGTAATAGCACCAGTGTCTTGGTAAACAATCTTGAAAGTTAGTGAAATTATAGTATTCATTGAGCAATCACATGGCAGGGGATTTGGGAGCACTTGAGGTTGAAGTTTCAAAATGAATATTGAAAATGTCTCCCAGTGGTCTGACCATTCTCTTCCCCACATTTTTGAACAACCACCAGTACCAATTGAGACACTGTAACTTGTTTATCCTTAGCTGACTTGTACCCAGTTGGCCACATTCTCTGTTAAGTTTAAGAATTAATTTTGCCTGTACAGTTAGCTATGCTAGTGGTTCTTTATCTAAAAATCTGATTTAAAACTATTTCCTCTTAAAAACAGTAAAATTCTAACCTTAAAGTAAAAGGACTATTTTTGTTGATATGTAACCCACAGTTGAATAAAATATGGAAGAGATTTCTTTGATAAATGATGAAGTGCTTAAAAGAAGGAAGTGCTAAATTGTTATCTGTTTACAATAATGTTTTTACCACTGACTATATTGCTTAGTTAATCTTACGCTAATTTTAATGTTCTGCATACAAGGGGCTTTGGCATGTTGCACTGTAATAACTGTATTCCCTTGTACTTCACTGTATCATGTTCAAATTAATAATAAATAAATAAATAAAAAAAAAGTAAAGACAAAATATAAGGTAGTTTAGCATGAAGTAATGTTGATTTTACAGTTCTTAGAGTAGTACAGAGAAATTTTACGAATTTCAAAATTCTTTAATGAATTCATTTCTGTACATCCTCAACATATTAAAGAAAATTATTAGAGATATAGTATTAAAATATGCCATTTATTTTGTTTTATCAAGAAAGGAGATAGTATGGAGAAGCCTCGTTCATCATTGTGATGAATTCCAGAAAAGATGCTTTTTAGGAGAGGGGTTAAAAAATTCTCTTCACATGATGGCAAAACTAAATGCAAAATGCTTCTGTTCAGAATTTGTGTGACTTGTTGAAAGCAGGTTTTGATAAATTCACCTCTTCATGTGATTAGGCAGCCGAAGGAGGCTACTTATGTTTGGAGGTGTATTATTGAAGACCGACCAGCAAGTAAGTTTTTATCAGCATTTATAAGAGTGAGATAGGGGCTTGTAAGATAATGACTGATATGAATTGTCACAATTGTTCTCTGCTCCTGACACTATTTTTGGTAGATTCGGATAAGCTACAAAGGATGTGGAGAAATTTTGGAGGGCTCACAGAAGGAAGTTAGAAGTCAGCATAAAAAAGAGCAAACTGAATGAAAGTAACAAAAAAAATCTAGGCCATGGAAAGAAAATGAATACATATCAAATTTGAGGGAATGAGCATGGAGGAAAAAAATATCTTTAGATATTTGGGGGTGGATGTGTTGGCAGAGGGGTGTATGAAGGACAATGTGATTCACAGAATAAGTCAGGGGGGAGGGGAAAGGTTAAAAAAAAAAAAGAGGAAGAGTATTGATGTCTGTAGAGAACTTTATCATTGGAGAGAGAGAGAGAGAGAGGAAATGTACCACCGGTGTACCTGTATCTTGGTACCAGCACTTTTATATGGGTGTGAGGCATGAGTTTTCATTCTTGCAGCATGGAGCAGGCTGGAAGCAGTGAAAGTGTCATGTTTGAGATCAATATGTAAAGTGAATTTTATATATAGACTAAGGAATGTAGAAATTAGAAGATGGCATGAGTGCATGAAAAATATGATTCAGAGGGAGGAGGAAGGTTGTTGAAATAATTTTGTCACTTTGGATGAAAAAAAAAAAACAGGTTGACCAAGAGTGTATAAATTTTGGTGGATGGAAGGAAGGGTAGAAATTGTTTCTGAAAGGTTGAAGGTAGGGGGTGAAGGAGGTTTTAAAGGCATCCAACAGGCATCTGTGAGCATGTTAGATTGGAATGGAGACAAGGGTATTTATTTAGGATTTGTTGTGCCGTTGGAGTGTGAACAAGGTAAATTTTATGAAGGGATTCAGGGAAACTGGTTAGCAGTATCTGAGTCCTGGAGGTGGTATGTACTGTGCCAACACTGAAGAATGGCTGATTTCTGCACTCTTCTAGCAAGAGAGCTATTGTATGAATGATAGTGAATGAGTTTTCTTTGTTGGGTCACCCTTCATTAGTGGGAAATGGTGAATGTGGGGGGAAGGGGAATAAGCATTTGCTTTGTGTGCTTGCTTTTTTTTTTTATATACAGCTTCCTGTAGTGCTGAATTCGAATGAGAGAAACAGGCAATATTCATCTATCATGGAGTTTGTGTTCACAAGGAAAGAAGAGAGTCTTGAGAAATGTAATAATATATTAGCTCTGTACTGGAAATATTGTTTACAGTGTATGTATTTTTACTTTTGACGGTGAGAAAATTGCAAGAATGACAAGTCTTAAGAGATTAAATTTAATCACACACAAATTTATAAAAGGATATGATAGCCAAGATTCTTTGGAATTGGAAACAGAGAACAAGAGGCCATAATTTTTAATTATGAAAAAGGATAAGCAGAAAACATCAAAGAAAAGATTGTATCTTTCCAAAGTGAATGGTATAGAGCTGGAATGAATTTTATGGTAATGTGTAATACAACCACTGAAAATCTTAAATGTACAGTATTTATGATTAATTATAGACTGGACACAATGAGCATAGCTCTACTCATTTAACTACTAAAAGGTAATTAGAAACATCCTTTGTTTTACATCTCTCACTTTATCCATCTTATTGGCATAACAGGTAAAACAATTGAAGTATTGTGATGAATTGCTCACTATATTTGCAAGTATTTTTCTGTGCTCACTGTCTCTTTGTTGACAAATTATTTCTAGATTATGCTTGCAGGATACACCATAGAGCATCACCTGGATATTTCTCGAAGACACATACAGCATGGATCCACCTGAATTTCAAGAACAGCCTCAAACAAGTGAGAAGCCATATGAATGCCTATCTTGTGGTAAGACATTTAACAAGAATAGTGATTTGAAAAGGCACACAATGATTCATACCGGAGAGCGACCTTTTGTCTGTGAAATTTGCGGCGTAGGTTTCATAGAAAAAGTAAAACTAACTGTCCATATGAGACATCACACAGGGGAAAGACCATTTGAATGTAAAGAATGTGACAAAAGTTTTATTAAGAAAAGTGATCTTAAAAACCATACCAAAACTCATTTTGGAATTAAAAACTGTATATGCAGTGAATGTGGTAAAGGATTTCTTAAAAATAGCGACTTAAAAAGACATACAAGGCTTCACACTGGAGATAGACCATTTGCATGTATATTTTGTAGTGCATGCTTTATAGAGAGCGGAAAACTAAAGAAACACTTGATGGTTCACACTGGTGAAAAACCAGTTGCGTGTGAAGAGTGTGGGAAGAGGTTCGCTCAAAATTCAGATCTTCGCAGGCACACAAGGGTCCATACAGGAGAGAGACCATACGTCTGTGAAGTGTGCAATCAGAACTTCAGTCAAAGGCATATTTACAAGGACCACATGAAGCAGCATCCTGTAGCAGTAGACACTCCAGAAAAATCTAGTCAAGGAGAAACGGGTAGCCAAAGTATACCCATATCTCAGACAAATGTGGTCTTTAACCCAGCAAATGACACTCGACCTGATCAAAACATGTTCACAGTTAGACAGAATTATAGTCCTAACAGTAATAAAATTATGGAAGAAGCTAGAGATTCCTCTAAATTCCTGCAAGTAAATGTTAAAGATGAAAAAATGTATATTGATGATGATGGATTGTGCCAGAAAGACGTAGACAGTTAAATTATGCCTCTGTTGTCATTATCTTGTTTTATATTGCATTCTAAATTGCTGTTAATGTGCTTTGCTTCATGTGTGTGACTGCCTGTTTTAGGAATAGAGCTTATACTCTTGGTGACCTTTTATATATTTTATATATTTATCATTTAAATTTTTTTTTTTTAAATTTCCAGTGGTTTTGGCACATTTTCTCCTTTCATCCCATTCCAGCCATCAACCACTCGTATTTTCTGTCTAATGTGGATATATCCAGCACCTTTAGTCTTTGTTCTTAATTCTGATTTTTTGTCTTTCAAAAAAATTTGTTTTACTGCAATGCTGTATGTTTTTCTATAGTGCAGACTCCATACCACAGCCACATATTCAAAATTTTGATGATAACATTTTTTATAAACTAGATTGTCACTAATTATCATTCATGTAATTGAAAGCTATTTTAAAATTTTGTCAGTATACCATTGGTTTCTCATGCAGGTTTCTGATTTCTGGTGATATTTTCTTTATTTGATGTTCAAGATTGTATAGCAATGTAATATTTTTAATGGATCCCTTTTTCATGTGAATCCATTTTCATTTCATGATGTTTGTCATCAGTCATCATTAAATTCCACCATCCATTTTACTGTACTTGCTCAACTTTTCTAAATCCTCCAGGAAGATCTTAGTCATCCTGATTTCCAACTTTACTCAAGGTATTTGCATCTTCAAAACATATTTATATAATCATACATGTAATTTTTCTAGGTCGTATAGATATACGTTATCAGGGCAGCCACTGATCTGTGTGGGACTCCACTAGTGATATTGCCCCATGAATGTATTTTTCCTCTTATCACTAGTTTCATCTTCATCTAAATAAAAGATCTGTTATCTGGTGTAAAAAAAAATTCTGAATTAGCTCCTAATAACACTCTCAAGGTGAATTGAACCATAGAAATGATTAAGGTTTAAAAAGGTGAGTGGTGCATTGAGGCATTTGTGGAGACAAAAAACTTCATCCATTTAGGCAAAAAGGGGAATATACGTACCAGAGTATACGGTACAGTACTAACATTGTTCTGTAGGTATAAGGCATTGGTTTTGAATGTTGCATTGAGGAGGTTGGAGTCAAAGTAGATGTGATTAGCCAATGTTGGTGTTGAATAATGCATAGAATTCAGAGTTGGAGATTAGAGGTATGGAGTCACCAAAATTATCATTCAGAAAGGCTGAGGTGTTATGAGGTGCTTTAGATATTAGAGAGGATGGAGAAAAATTGAGTAGATTAGGATGGTGTATTAATCTTAGGGGTGGAGGGAAGGAGGGGTAGGGGTCATCTAAGAAGGTTGGAGATAGGGGTTAGAGGAGTTATTGAGTGCTAGGGGCTTGGACATGCAGTAGGCTTTTGTGATCATGTTAAATAGGAGTGGAGGCAAGCAGTTTGACATACTATTGGGAGTATGAACAAGGTAACATTTATGAAGGGATTCAGGGAATCAGGTTTAGTGGGTAGTCAAATAGGTGGAGGTAAGCAGGTACCTACACTCTGAAGGAGAGGTGGGGATGTTGCAGTTTGTAGGGCCTGAGATTGGTTCCCTTCTGGCAAGACTGATTGCATAAGTAACAGTGAAAATGTTTTCTTCTGTCAGGTCACCCTACCTTGGTGGAGATGGCCAGTGTGTTAAACTAACACACACATTAATGATGATTGTATACACAGGGTTTGTTGATCTGTAACTAAGCAACTTGTTACGAAAAGTTTACTCTAAATGTTCCAGCCACGTTTCCAGTAACTTTCTCTGATGTTTTCAAATCAACTCTTATTAGCATGTGTGTAATTAATTACCAATTTGCAGCTGCAGAATAGACCATATGACCATAGTGTTCTATTTTCTTACTAGATTTATTGTATATACACCTTAAAACTTTGGTACTCTGTTCTGTAAAATAATTTCGTTCCAGCAATCAAACACTGTAAACAAATAATTTCCAATATATCTTCTGCATCTTTTTAATAATAGAAACTTATGGCCTGTTGTTCTTAGTAATGCTGGCACAAAGAAAGCTTTCCCATCTACTTTTTGAAATTTTTTGTTTGTTTATATGTACAGCAGTAGTTATTTTCTCCACTCCTGTTATACAATAAGAATATGTCTTGTAAATTTAGTTATTATTGTTACTTCACATTTCTTGGTTCTGAAATAGAATTATTTTACATACCTTCAAATATGTAAGAGTGAGTTTACCTGCTTGGGAATACTGTACACATTTGTAGTTAAAGTTGCAATGTTGTGCTTGTGGTGCCTCATCTTGAATTTAATACTGTATCATCGACAGTACTTATCCCTGGCCATGCCTGAATTCGTAATTTAATGTAAGGCTCTGACATTTTGGTTCAGCAACTTTGCCTCTAAAAGGATTTGCAGGTTCAACTACTGTGCTACTTATGTGGATTTAGGTAAAGGGGGCTGGGGTTGTGGGATATGGTGACTGAAACATTTAGTTCACAAAGATTTTGATATTTCTTGTGGATGAGGTACTGTATATGGTAAATTTCACATTATTGGCTAATCGTCATACATGATTATTTCTGTTCTTTTATATTTTTTTGTGTTAGAAAGTTAATGTAATGGTTTAAAAAATAAGTACTACTTCTACAATCACTCGCTCCTTTTCTTTATGAAACACAGTGAAAGTGCACATCTCGGTGATATTCCTATCCTCAGATTTCCATTCACATTCCACTATCTTTTACCCCGTGTCTATTTAAGCCAGTGGTAAATGGTCTACTTTCTGTATGAGGTGCTATCAAAAAGTTCCCAGACTTGAACTGTCACACGCTTCTTGGGTGAAATATGGTGGCAGCATAGATCACAAAGAGCCATACATTCCTTTGTGAAGTATCATGGCAAATTTGTGCTGTCAGTTATTCCATTGAGGTTAGATGGGCATGTTTTATCGTGTGTGTGTGTGTTGTGTGTGTGTGTGTACTTGCCTATTTGTGGTTGCAGGGGTCAAGTCATAGTTCCTGGCCCCACCTCTTCACTGATTGCTACTAGGTTCTCTCTCTCTCTGCTCCATGAGCTTTATCAAACCTCGCCTTAAAACTATGTATGGTTCCCGCTGCTACTATGTCACTTTCTAGGCTATTCCACTGCCTGAAAACTCTTGACTGAAGAAATACTTCCTAACATCTCTCTGACTCATCTGAGTCTTCAACTTCCAATTGTGACCCCTTGTTTGTGTCCCATCTCTGGAACATCCTGTCTTTGTCCACCTTGTCTATTCCGCGCAGTATTTTATATGTCGTTATCATGTCTCCCCTGACCCTCTTGTCCTCCAGTGTCATCAGGCTAATTTCCTTTAACCTTTCTTCATAGGACAATTCCTTAGCTCTGGGACTAGTCTTGTTGCAAACCTTTGCACTTCTTTAATTTCTTGACATGCTTGACCAGGTGTGGATTCCAAACTGGTGCTGCATACTCCAGTATGGGCCTGACGTATATAGTGTACAGTTTTTTGAACGATTCCTTACTGAGGTATTGTAACGCTATCCTTAGGTTTGCCAGACACCTGTATGCTGCAACAGTTATCTGATTGATGTGTGCCTCAGATGTGCTCAGTATTATACTCACCCCAAGATCTTTTTTCTTGAGCGAGGTTTGCAGTCTTTGGGTACCTAGACTATACTGTATGTGCGGTCTTTTTTGCCCTTCCCCGATCTTCATGACTTTGCATTTGGCGGGGTTGACCATAACACAAGGCACAGATCACTCTTTGATGTTCCTCGTGTCCATCTCACGCTATGCAAAATCTCAATGCACATAAAAGGCCCTAAAATCTGGAATTCATTACCTGTAAATATAAAAGAAACACTACCTGTTTATAAATTCAAGTCTCTTCTCAAAGATCACTTACTCACTCAAAACCAAATAAATACTGAATAACTGAACCTTATAAATTGTATATCCAAATGTTACTCACAATTATATCACACAAATGTTAAACCTAGGACCCAATCTAACTTTATTTTTTTAAATACACTACCTAACAGAATACTCCATTCGACTGAATGTACAGCAATGCATGCAACCATATGACCTGTCTTTGTAATACTCATTTGTGCTTTATAGTTATCTGTTTACAATAATGTTTTATCACTGATTTCATCATTGCTTAGTTAATCTTAAGTTAATTTTA